ATAATGGTCTGGATCTTTTGGGTATCGTGATGTTTCCCCTTTCATCTCTGATTTTGTTGATTGGATTTGCTCTTTCTTTCTTTTGGTTAACTGGGCTAGGGGGCGTCTGTCTGTCTTGTTTAGCTTTTCAAAGAACCAGCTCCTAGATTCATTGGTTCTTTGTATTGTTTTCTTTGTTTCTATTTCATTAATTTCTGCTCTGATTTTTGTTATTTCTTCTTGTCTCCTGGGTTTGGGTTTCATTTGCTGTTGCTTTTCAAGTGTCTTGAGTTGCAATGTTAAGTCATTTATTTGTGATCTTTCTGATTTTTCAGGTTTTTTTTGTATTTGTTGAGGTTTGTTTTGTGGCCCATTATGTGGTCATTTTTTGAAGAAGTTCCCTGGGGTGCTGAGTAGAAAGTATATTCTTTCATGTTTGGGTGGAATATTTGAAAGATGTCTTGTTAGGTCCATTTGATGTATGGTATCATTTAATTCAGACATCTCTCTGTTTATTCTTTGTCCAGTTGACCTGTCTAATGGAGAAAGTGGGGTATTGAATTCCCCTACTATTACTGAGATGGGATTAATCTGTATCTTAAAGTCCTATAGTGTTGTTTTTCTGAATTTGGGTGCACCAGAGTTTGGTGCATATATGTTAAGGATTGTAATATCCTCTTGGTTAATTGTTCCTTTGATCAGAATGAAGTGACCCGCCTTATCTCTTCTGACTAGATTTACTTTGAAGTCTATTTTGTCAGACATTAGAAGTTCAATCCTGCTTGTTTCTTAGTGCCTTCTGCTTGGAATATTCTTTTCCATCCTTTCACCTTAAGGTAGTGCCTGTCCTTGTAGGTGAGATGGGTTTCTTGCAGACAGCAAAAAGATGGATTTTGTTTCTTAATACATTCCGTTAGCCTGTGTCTTTTGACTGGGGAGTTCAGTCCATTAATACTTAAGATTATTATTGAAAGATGTATATTGGTTGCCATCATTTTCATTGCTGTTTGTATTCTCTGTCTAATTTTGTGTTTCCTCAATTATGCCTTTATTTTCTTTCGTTGCCCCTGGGGTATAGTTGTTTCTCTCTCTCCTCTTTTTGTATTGCTTCAAGTATTCTTTGAAGGGCTGGTTTTGTGGACATGTATTCTTTCAGGCTTTTTGTGTCATGGAAGATTTTTCTTCCCCCCTCAACTATAATAGACATTTTTGCTGGGTAAAGTATTCTGGGATGACATCTATTGTCATGTAGAACTGGAAATTCCTTG